TTTCTTAATGAACATTTTCCATGAACTTTTGAAAGACCTTATATATATTCATATCAAAGATTGTCATGAAAACCCAGGTTCAAACCACAAGTTGGCCTGAACACTCTGAGTGTGCCTATACTGGCTGGCTGGAAGGCTGTGGGTAGATGGATCATAGAATGGCAAACCCTTGTCCAGGGTATCTGTCTCTTTCATGAGAAATAAATAAAGGGCCAGCAGATGACATAATGGTTTTGTCGCTGGACTCCCACGTAGTTGACCATGGTTTGAGTCTGGGACCCTATGGCTGGCTTAAAACTCAGGATGGGTGCAAGTGCATGCATGCCCAAAATTCCAAGAAAAGAACAGAGGAGAAGAGATTGTAGCGTGCCATAACCCCTGGGGGGGGGTGTGTGATTCCTTACTTTCTGTCTCTCCAATGAGCGTATGTGCTCTATAGCAAAAATCTCTCTCTAAAAAAAAAAAAAAAAAAAAAAAAAAGGGGGCACGCCGTTACGGCGTAATGGTTATGTGGCTGGACTCCCACGTGGTCAACTGCGGTTTGAGTCCCGGACCCAGTGACTTAAACTCACGCTGGGTGCGTGTGTGTGTATGCCCAAGATCCCGAGAGGAGAATAGAAGAGAAGGGATTGTGGCGTGGCCATCCCCGGGGGGTGATTTCGTGCTTTCTGTCTTTCTAGCGAGCACATGTGCCCTATAGCAAAATCCTCTCAAAAATAACTAAATTTAAATAATTTTTTTATTAGGAAAAAATTGTTTTGATGTTGGATAAGGCAATAATTTTTTAGAAATTAGTCAAAAATCAGTAGCAGAATCTATTAGAGAAAAAATTATTAAATTGGACTTCATCAAAATGAAAAACTTCTTGAGAACCAGCAGTTAGTGTAATGGCTATGTCGCTGGACTCACACATAGTAGACCGTGGTTCGTGTCCTGGACCCGGTGGCTTAAAACTCACAACGAGTACGTGTGTGTGCGTGCCCAAGATCCCAAGAGGAGAATGGAGGAGAAGGGCGTGACCATCCCCCTGGGGGGATGATGATTTCTCGCTTTCTGTCTCTATGTCTCTCTCTGTCTGTCTGGCGAGCGCACGTGCCCTGTAGCGAAAACTTCTCAAAAAAAAACAAAAAAAGGGAAAACTTCTATCTAAAGACAATGGTAAGAGAATGGAAAGAGGGAGTAGCAGGTGGCATGGTAGGTGGACTGCTGGACTCCCATATGGCCAACTGCAGTTTGCGTCCCAGACTTGGAGGCTTGCTTTCTCACTCTCTCTCTCTCTCTCTGGTGAGCACACATGTCCTATAGCAAATTTTAAAAATATAAATAAATAAGAAAATAAAATTAAATACATAATTTTTAAAAGAGTTTTTTGCTATGGGATGCATGTGCTTGACAGAGAGAGAGAGACAAAAAGTGAAAAATCACCCTCCAGAGAGGATGGTCCTACTGTAATCCCTTCTCCTCCATTCTCTCCTCGAGATTTTGGGTATGCACACACACATACCCAGTATGAGTTTTAAGCTGCTGGTCCAGGACTTGAACCATGGTCAACTACATGGGAGACCAGTGACATAATCATTATCCCATCTGCTCATCCCTAAATAATCCTTTTAAAAAAAGAGAGAACAAAAAGATGTCATATACTGGGAGAAATATGTCCATATAAAGGAAATATAAAAGATGCTACAAACTCAAACCTGAGAAAACAAACACCCTGTTAAAAATTGAGCAACCGGGGCTGGCAGGTGGCATGGTGTTTAAGGGCACTAGACTCCCACATGGTCGACCGTAGTTTGAGTTCCAGAACTGGCAGCTTGTTTTCTCACTTTTCATCTCTCTCACTCTCACACTCTGTCCCTATCTGGTCAAATTAAAATAAAATAAAAGATTTTCTGGGATTGTGGTGTGGCCATCCTCACTACTGGGGGTTGATTTCTCACTTTCTGTCTGTCGTTCTGTATCTCTCTCTGGCAAGTGCATGTGTCCTATAGCAAAAATCTCTCTTAAAAAAGAAGATAATGCTTTCTAATTAGTGGGACAAAGAACTAGCATTTGTTGACTATCTATTATCAATAGCCATTGATTTTTACACTTTGCACAAACAGAAGACATACATTTTTATGTATATCCATTTTACAGAGGAGGAAAAGAAACCCAAACCAGTTAACAAATGGAAAGCTGCAAAATGAGAATGAATCTTGGGTTTTGGTGACTCTTAACCCAACCCATGTTGCTTTCCATCAAACCATAATACCAAACTCTTATAGTCATGCCTGAACAGTTCTGGAAGGAGTGGATACAATTCTTAACACTTTCTGAGAAAGTTGGTGAAGGCTTTGTTACTGAGGCCCTATTCCTTCAGATGCAGTGTAGGTTCTCAGAATTTCAAAATAATATATTGCTATTATTATTATTACTTGAGAGAGGGAGGGAGGGAGGAAGAGAGAGAAGGAGAGAGAGAGAGAGAGAGAGAGTGTCAAAAGGGTCTTGCCACACCACAGTCCTCCTCTCAGCTTCCCAGTCAGCCAGGATGGATTACTGGTGCCTATGGCCATGCCATATGTGTTGAGGCTGACCTGGAATTTGAATCTGAGCTTTCCATATGGCCCTAGAATTGTGTGGCAGCACCCTGTGCCACTGTAGCTTGGCTGGTAGTGCATTATTGATGACACAGAGGCAAATTACATACTCTCAGGCAGAAGTAATGTTTTCTTATTTGTTGTTCCTGCAGTGTTTTATGTGGTCAATTTATAACTCGCTCATTTTATACCTCAGTGAGCTGGATTTAAGCTTGTAATAGATAATTACAGAGGAGTAGAAGCTGTTATTTGTATTTTAATAATACCATACACAAACACACATTTATATACATACACACATGATAGCACTGTTATTTGTATTTTAATAATACCATACACAAACACACATATATACATACACACATGATATACATACATGCATGTATGAGAGAGAAAAGCAGGCCAGTAGGGGGCTAAGATGCCTGGATCCCACATGAACAACTGTATAGTTTGAGTCATGACCCGGCAGCTTGAGAACAAACCAGGTGGATGTGTGTGAGTGCCCCAAATCCCAAGACGAGGAAGAAGAAGGGACTGGAGCGTGGCCATCCCCGCTGAGGGTGATGGGGTGGAGTGGTTGCTTTCTCTCTTCATCTTCTCTCGGTCTCCTGTGAGCACACATGCCCTATACTAAAGGGGAGAGAGTGGGAGGAGGGGGAGAGAGAGAGAGAGAGAGAGAGAGAGAGAGAGAGAGAGAAAGTACCACCGACAAGGTCTCATCATGTCACAATTTCCTTTCCATAGCCCTCCTCCAGCTCCTCGGGATCTTGGGTGCCAGTGCACACACTCAGTGTGTTTTCAGGTTGATCTGTGGACCTGAACTGTGCTTAGACATGTGGCTTCCAGCACTTCAGTCCATTATGCTATGGACTATGCTACCAGGCTGGGGCAACACTTAATATTTTTAGGTACCTACATGATCTGTGACAAACTCTCTCAATGTATAAATAATCAATCACAACTCTAGTGTTAGAAAGTAGTACTATCTCAACTTACAAAGAAACAGGTTGTGACATAAACATTATCTAAACATGGAAGAAAAGGAAAACACAAACCACCTAAAATTAGCCACTATGTTTTTGTAAAATTTTGTTTTGGGGCTACATTAAACATCAAAAATAGGTAAGGGAACCAGCAGTTTGCGTAATGGCTATGTTGCTGGCCTCCCACGTAGTCGACCGCGGTTCGCATCCCAGACCCGGTGACTTAAAACTCACGCTGGGCGTGTGTGCGTGTGTGCCCAAGATCCCGAGAGGAGAATGAAGAAAAAGGGATTGCGGCGTGACCATCCCCCCTGGGGGGTGATTTCTCGCTTTCTGTCTCTATGTCTCTCTCTGTCTGTCTGGCGAGCGCACGTGCCCTATAGCAAAAAAAAAACCTCTCTCTCAAAAAAAAATTGGTAACAACAATCATTTGGTAATTAGATACATTCAAATACATACATAAATCACATTCGAAGCTACTTACAAACACAAGCTAAATTTGCATTACTCTTGCTATTTTTTTCTACTGTAGATACTAAAAAGCTGAGTAAGCATTTATTTCTAGAATATGACATTTGCCTTTGAAGTAAAGAGTCATCATTTCATAAACATAAGCTAAAACTGAAGTGCTTTGTTTAGTATGATGGTGGTTAGTTTTTTACATAGCATTATGAACTTTAAGAAAGGACATTTAATAGGCTAGACTTAGGCATCAACAACTACTCATCACCACCTAAAGCCAATGCCATGTCTAAAAAGCATATTAACAATTTTAACATATTATACACCTTAGGTGTTCTACGTGTGAACACCTTCACAGTTTCATTCAACCCAATGAATCCTTTATGATGCTGCTACAGTTCGTTTACATAGCTAAAGTGGTTTACATAGCTAAGAGTAGATAGTTGTTTATTAGAAGTAAAAAAAAACGACCCAGTGCATAATTACACGAAAGCATGGTGGCCTGCTGCAGACAGAATTTCTATTTAATTATATATATCCGTTTAAAAAGTCTTTCTTCCTTTCGAAAGCATGGACTGACTTTTTTAATGCCACATTTACATAGTTTGTTGACTGTCCCTATGTGCCTAAGCAGGCCTTAAAGATGAAAGTTGGATAAACAAGGTCCCTGCTCTACTGAGCACACGGCCAGCTTTTTATAAGATTACCAGAAGCCAAATTTGAAAAATGAGCCGGAACGCTGGGGGTTGATGAGGGACTCCAGCTCGCAGTAATGGGTCCACACCAAAAAGTAGTAGGTGGCGGGATTTCCCGGCTTTCAGACCTCTGCCAGGCTACCCGCCAGCGCATCGCCACGCCAAAACGGTTCCCCACCCTGCGTATCAATGCGCATGCGTCCCCGGTGGGACGGGCAATGACCCTGAGAGGTTGCCGTCGCGCTGTGCGCGGAGAAGACGTCGCGCGTGCGCAGGCGCCCGGCGCAGAGCCCTGCCGGAAGCCAAGATGGCGTGTAGGTGCTCTCCGAGCCGCAGTTGGCGCCTTATCAGTGTCTGACCCGGCTGTTTTGTGAGGATCTGTGGCAGACGCGCTGTCCACCGCCATGGCCCGGCATCGGAATGTCCGAGGCTACAACTACGATGAAGGTAGGTGGCAGGATCATTCCTAGAGATCACTTTTGCCGTTCCAGCTGGGATTCCAGCTTGTTGGCATCCACTTTGAACTGTAAGTTCCTCCACAGCGGGCCAGACTAGAATTCGGGGAGGCCCACTTGGAAAATAGCATGACGTTGGCGTGCCAGCGTCTGATGTTGTTTTGAGTCGTGATTTCTGCTGGGATGGATTTTACTTATTGGGGGAAGTGCTGCACAACCTCGTTTGGAAAGGACATTTGGCAAGGTTGGGATCCGGTGATGTTTATACACGTAAGCTTTGTCACCTCTCCCATTGTTTCCTCCCAGGTCGGGCACTCACGTGTCTGCTGGCTTCTGCTCCTTGAACCCGGTTTCAGAAGTGTCCCTGAAACGTTGCTTATCTATAAAACACGAATTGACTTGATACTTGCCTTCAGCCTGTCTGTTGTAACTGTTAGATTTACTTGCTTAATCATTGTGTGTGTTTATACATATTTAGTGCAGAACCTAGCTTGAGCAAACGGATTATTTTTCAACGAATTTTGAACAGAAAACTTAGTAGACATTAGAAAAGGTACACATTATAAAGGTCCAGAGAATAGATCGATAAGAGGATCTTGAGATGTATACTAAATTCTTGACTGTTAATGCCTAATACACATGTATTTTGAAATGGGAATAAAAAGTAATTCTAGAAGGGGCCGGCAGGTGGTGTGGTGGTTAAGGGCCCTGGATCTCCACATGGCCTAGGGCTGTTCAAGTTCCAGACCTGGTGGCTTGCTTTCTCACTTTCCCTCTCTGTCTCTCTTTCTCTCTTGCTCTGTCCCTCTCTGGTCAAATTAAAATAAATAAATACATATATACAGTCAAATAAAATAATTCTTTTAAAAAGAGTTCTAGAGTAAAGACATAACAAGGATGTAATGATTTTGAAAAAAAAAAAAGTAAAAGGGAAATGTATGTTTGTTTTCTAGAAGTTTAGAAGGAGTTATATCAATTTTAGGGAGGGCACATCTTTTCATTCAGTGGGTACTTAAAAGCATCAGGAAGCATCATATCAGCTAAAAACAAACGAGCTAATGAAGAAGAGAAAGATTAGAAACCTGTGTTTGTTTTGTGAAGTATAGAACATGTAGTGCTTAGCATACTGGTGTTTATTATTGATGCCACTGGTAGATTATTTTAGAAGATTAGTATGCACTAACCAAAATGAAGGGTAGGTAGCACTCTGCTACTTTTTGGGGTCTGTGACCCAGTACACTTGTCACCTGTTACTTTCTTTGTACTTACTTTAGAATAGAGGGCCTTTTGCAGTGGGTGTTACCCCTGTCTTTCTCAGAAACAATTATACAGGGACATATTTTCATAAATATGATATAAAGGACATGAATAAACCTGATTTATTAATTTTTTTCTTTTTTTTGGGGGGGGGTCAGTGGTTGCTTATTATTACTGGGGGACGAGGAGTAAGAAGGCACTCCCCTCTCCATGGGGGATAGTCATGCTACAATCCTTTCTTCTCCATTTTCCCTCCTTTTGGGATTTTGGGCATGCACGCATATGTGCTATAGTGTTTTCCAAGCCACTTGGTCCCAGACTTCAACCATGCTGTCAGCCATGTGGGCCAGCCACCTTATCCACCATTCATTTCTTTAACTGATCATTTATCAACTGGTCAACCAATGTCCATGTTTAGAACAGTAACACTGGGGACTGACAGTAAGATATTTGAGAGTAGTCTAAAAGGCAAAGATAATAGAAGTAACAGATGACTAGAGTATGTATTGACAAAGTGCTATGGGTTTTGTAAATAACAATTAGTTCAGTATGGGTTGGAGGTGTTTAAGCAGGATTTCTAGTTGGAAGAAGTCTTTATGGAAGTTTGACCTGGGAGTGAGTACTAAATATCTTTATGCCTCATCCACCCAGGTAAGGTTGTCATGTTTCTTTGGAACAATTGGTGACATCATAACCAAGGTGTTCCTATAGCATAGGTGGTTCATCCCTTTTTCCTGCTTATAAAAGTTCTACTCATTTTTAAGGTTCAATTCACTTCTCTTCTTCCCAGTTAAACTTTCTCTTGGACTTTTTAAAAAAAGAATTATTTATTTAATTGTATTCATCATTTATTTTAATTTGACCAGAGAGAGACAGAGAGAGGGAAAGTGAGAGAGCAAACCACCAGTCCTGGTACTTGGTCCATGGTTGGCCCTGTGGGAGAGTCCAGTGTCTTAACCACAGCGCCAGCTCCTGGCCCCTCTCTTGGACTTTTGAATAATTATTTTAAAATTCTTCAAGTAATATAACCCCATAAGAATTTATGCTCTAGGGCCAACAAGTAGCATTGTGGTTAAGGTGCTGAACTCCCACATGGCTGATTGTGGTTTGAGTCCCGAACCTGATAGCTTGCTTTCTCACTTTGTCTCTCTGGTGAGCACATGTGCCCTATTGCAAATTTTAATAATAATAATATAATAATAATTAATAATAAAATCAAATAAAAAAGTTTGTGCCCTAAAACTTATTGTTTTTTTTTCTTTTTAGCTCCCATTTTGTTTTTTGCTGTAATTTGGGTCATATTTTACATGACTACTTTAGCTACTAGGTTATTTATTTATTTATTTATTTATTTATGAGTGTGAGCACATCTATATTCCCAATAGGGAGCTAATGCCATAATCCATCTCTAGCTTCAGCCAGTCTGAGATCATGGGCACACACATGCGTGGCTTACTCAGGGAGGTCTCCACATGCTAAACTAAAACCTTCCCATGTGGGTTAGCCCACAGAGTGTTGCACTGTGCCACTGTCTCACTCCCATAGATTAATTTTATATTTACTCCAGTAGTTGGTACAACATAGTAAATACTCCTAAAATTCAGTTGAGGAAATGAGTTTACTTTACAAAGATCACAGGAAAGAATTCTCCCCATCTTTTTGTATGGTGGCACTTTTTATTTATTAACTCTGGATCCTGATCTAATAGTTTATTGACTGTTACCCATTTTGACCCATTTTTATTATGTCGTACATTTTTTGTAGCATTTACCTAAATTTTGTTTGTAGTAACTTGGTCTTAGCCTTGCCCTGAAGGAGCTGATAGTGTCATACTCTTCCTGCTGCAGGAATACCTTCAGAAGCTAACTCTGTCCTGGAATCGGTTTGGATATTATATTCCTGGGAAACTTTCCCTAGCCACCATACTTCCAGTTCTAGTTCTGTTTTTCAGTTGTGTGTTCTCAAATTGCTCTGTAGTTCTCATGTTAAGTACTTGTCATATGGTTTTGTTATTAAGCATTTTCTTGTTTATGTTTCTATCAGATTTTAGGTTTGGAGAGAGCTGGGAATGTATTCACTGTTACACAAGTGTGTCTAGTAGTCTCTGGCCTAGTGTTAATTACTACTAGTGTTAATAGTTGTTAATAAGTAGATAAGTTTATGTAAATATATATATGTTCCTAGTGGTTATTAGTTTCACAAAGTTTGATACATTGATTTATAACATAAATATAGTGCTAAATAGGTGTCAGGTAATCGGCTAAACCAAGTCTTGCCCTGGAGGAGCTGATAATCTTATGAAGTGAATCAGTTATAGTACTTTGAACACAGTAAATTGGAGGAGTGTGCCAGAAGGTGAAGGTGGCAGGAGAGCTTGTTCCTTTACCCAGGGTGGTCACAGGAGACTTACATAGAGGTGATACTAGAACTGGAACTTAATGAGGAGGAAAAAAACAGCCTGCAGAAAATCTGGGCAAGGGGCATATTCTAGTCAATAGGAAAAATGGCAAGTAGCCATTTGGGTGAACTCAGGGAGGTTAACATGAGTATGCTTCTACAGAGGTTACCTTGCTCTACCTGAAGGAGATGACTTTCATGATTTGATTGTGTACACTGTGCTCCTCAGTTCTATGGAAGAGAAGTGCTTTGGTTATAGAGGGGACTCGGAAAAAAAAATGAATGGCTGGCTTGTTTTAGATATTCATCAATGCTAGAAAGACTATCACATGTAATGTTTGTAGGATTATTATTATTTTTTTATCACATTAGGTGAAAACTTGGAAAAACTTAAAGCCCAGTTAATTAAAAACTGAAATAAAACATGTTTATCTTCATAAGTATAGAATGTCAGTACTTAGCTATTTTGTGCATGAAAGTCTTAGAACTTTTTGAAAAAGTAAGCCTGAGTACTTTTAATTTTTATTAACAATTTATTTTGGAAAGAATTCATATACTTCTTTATTAGTAACTGATAATGTAAAAACTTATAAATTAATTTATCTCTTTTGTTTTTATTTTAGACTTTGAAGATGATGATCTTTATGGCCAGTCTGTAGAAGATGATTATTGTATTTCGCCATCAACAGGTGAATTTACAAAAATAATCTGAGGATCCAGCAGTGACACAGTGATTAAGGTGTTAGATTCCCACAGGGCTGGCTGACTGCAGGTTGAGATCCAGGCCTGGCGTCTTCCAAATCACTCTGGGCCCGTGTGTGTGCATTCCTCAAATCTCAAGAGTAGAATAGAGGAGAAGGGATTGTGGTGTGGCCATCTGCCCTGGGGGGTAATTTCTCATTTTTCCTCTCACTATCTCTCCTGTGAGCACATGTGCCCTATGGCAAAAACCTTGAAAAAATTAGAAAAAAAATTTCCCTTATTTAGATGTTTTAAAATGTCAAGTATTATTGTCATTCTAGGACTAGAGTTTTTTGTTTTATTTTGCTTTTTAATTGCTAGAGGATGTGTGTATACTCACCAGCGTGGGGGAGCGCCCACTAATGAGATGTGGTCACGCTGCAATTCCTTCTCCATTTCTTTATCCTATTGAGATTTTCAAAAATATGCACACACGCTCAGTATGTTTTTCAAGCTGTGAGGGCCAGCATTTGATCTGTGATCAACCATGTGGTATGCAACTCCCCTAATCACTAGGTTACTGGGCTGACCCTAGAGTGTTTTATAAAAGCTTTGTATTATTCTTCCTTTATTTGAGGGGAACACATTTCAAGATCCTAAGTTGATGCCTGAAACTGATAGTATCAAAACCTGTATATACTTTGGTTTTTCCTGTATGTACATATCTGGAATAAAGTATTTATAAATTAGGCACAGTAAGAGATTAATAAGGACAGTAGAATGATTACTATACTGTAGTAAAAGTTATATGAATGTGGTGTCTTTTTCTTAAAATATATTTGTGCTATGTGGCATAAAGTGAAACCATGGATAAGGAGAGACTGTAATATGTAACTTTAAAAAAAAGTTTTCACTATAGAAATCCGCCCCCTTCCCCCCCTCAGTGGGAATGGCCACACAACAGTTCCTTCTTCATTCTCCTCCTGGAATTTTGGGCCCAAAATCACATGCCTGTTGTGATTTTCAAACCTTCAGATCCAGGACTCAAATCGCCGTTGGCCATGGGGGAGTTCAGTGCCTTAACCACCATGCCACCTGCTTACCCTCCATAGTTTTGTAGTCTATGTATTACATATAAATTTTGTATGTACTTTCTTTTATAAATCATGCCTTTCTGAAAACCTGTAACAGTCAAATGTTGGACCTCTAAGTGTTAGACTTAATATGTTACTGCTCTCACCATAAGCTAAAAAAATGTAAACTCCCTAATAACACTTGCCTTTTGAATGTGGTATTTGTATTTTTGTCCTTACCATATTCCCAGATTTTATTTCTTCACCCTGGATGGTCTCCAAGATTGAGGTCAGTGCATATCATTTGAGGTAGAAGTAGCAATATTTTGGGCATGACTGATGATTTTTCTCCTTTGCTCACTTTATGATACTCCAGCACATATTGACACATTGTTAGTTTGTCTTTCCTCCTTTTTTTTAAAAAAAAAATAATTATTTTATCTAAAATTTTTTTAGTCCATTTTCTAATTTGACCAGAGAGGGAGAGAGCACGAGAGCACAAGAGAGAGAAAGTGTGAAAGTAAACCGCCAGATCCAGGACTTGAACTGCGCTTGTCCACGTGGGAGTCCAGCGCCCTTAACCACCACACCACCTGCCAGCCCCTGTCTTTATTCCTTTTAGTAAAACGTTTAATACCCACTTACATACTGAGTGATGACACTGCCAGTGTTGCATAGCAGTGCAGACTGCTGTGTGAAAGTCAGCGGTGTGTAGCCCTACACACAGTATCAGTTATCATTGAAACATGAGTCGTTCAAAAGTTAAAGCCTATGTTTTCAGTAAACTTTCAGGTTCAAGCAAAAGTATTAACTATTGAGGAATGAAAAATTAACCTAGTGTTTTCTTAATTATGCAAATAAGAAAGTTTACCAAAGAAGAGAAAATTTTAGGGAAAATAGGATAGTTGGCAAGGATGAACTAATAGGAAAAGCAGTTTTGAAAAGCATGGAGGAAGCAGATTTAATGGAATGGTCTTGGAGACTGGAGAAAAGGAAAAATATGTCAAGAGATTAATAAATAGTAAGGACATTTGAGCAGGATTTAGGGTATGGTGTGTTTTGTCTCAATGTGTTTTTGTTTTCATTCATGAATATGTTGTATGGATAACTGACTACAGGTGGTAGATCAGGATCCTTAATGTTTGTTTTTAAAAAAAAATGATAGAGGGCCAGCAAGTGGCGTGTAGTGGTTAAAGCACTATACTCCCACATGACTGACCATGGTTTGAATCCTGTACCCAGCAACTTGAAACTCAGGCCAGTCATGTGTGTGTGCATGCCCAAAATCCTGAGAGGAGAATGAAGGAGATGGGATTGTGGTGTGGCCATACCCACCCCACCCCCACCCCGGGGACAATTTTTCACTTTCTGTCTCTCTCTCTGTCTGGTGAGTATATGTACCCTAGAGCAGAAATCAATAAAAAAAGAGAAAAAAAGAAATGGGTATACTATAACATTCTTCAATCTTATATTCCAGCTGCTCAGTTTATTTACTCACGACGTGACAAACCTTCAGTTGTTGAGCCTGTAGAAGAAAATGATTATGAAGATCTGAAAGCATCTTCCAATGCACTTTTGAACCATCAGCTAAGAGGAACTGATCAAGGTATCATAAAAGTATGGTATCTGTTTCTTACCTGAAAATGATTAATGACCAAATAGATCAGAACTTACCAATTTTATGGTGATTGTTCATAATAGTGACTGATAACAATACAAATATATGTTATATCTTCAAGGAAAATTCACATTTTTAATAGATTTTGTGAGGGGTATATTTAACTGCCTTGTGAAAAGTTGTTTGTATGGTTATTTAATATTGTTTTAACTGTCCCATTCTTTCAGTCTTTCCAATAGAAGAGAAATTCTTGTGATTTATTATAAGAAATTTTTTCTTGGGACCAGCAGTTGGCGTAATGGTTTTGTTGCTGAACTCCCATGTAGTCGACTGCAGTTTGAGTCCTGGACCTGGTGGCTTAGAAACTCACGCTGGGTGTGTTTGCGTGCGTGCCCAAGATCCTGAGAGGAGAATGGAGGAGAAGGGATTGCGACATGGCCAGACCCCCTGGGATGATTTCTCACTTTCTGTATCTCTCTGTCTTTCCTGCGAGCGCACGCGCCCTGTAGCAAAAACCTCTCCAAAAAAAAAAAAAGAAATTTTTTCTTTGTTGTTGTTGTTAGCTACATAGGGAGTTTATGATTAGAAACTCTACTTACAAACATGTTAGGTCTCAAGAGGCTATTTTTGTTTTTTAAAGTTGAAATCTGAAGTAACACTATGTGAATGTTGTGATTGTTCATATCTGTGTAAATTAGATTTCAAACTAGAATTTATAAAAAGTGACGTTGGTTCTGAATTTGTTTATTTTCAACTTTCTTAAATGTTTTAACAAAGATCTTTATAATTTGGCTTTCTTTTAAAAGTTTGAAATATGACACTGCTTCAAACAGCATTCATATCATAGATTGATAGCAGAACTAAAATGGCCAGGTTTAACTGTAGTGCCATGTGTTGATAGTGAGTAGATCTGAGCTGACTTGCTCTTTCTGTGGTTTGTGGCTTTATTCTATAGTTTTTAAATTTTTATATTATATATATGTATATATATATATATATAGACAGAGAGACAGACAGTGAGAAATCACCCCTCAGGGGGGATGGCCACACCGCAGTCCCTTCTCCATTCTCCTCTCGGGATCTTGGGCACGTGCACACACGCACCCTGCGTGAGTTTTAAGCCGCCAGGTCCAGGATTTGAACTGTGGGTGACTACATGGGAGTCCAGGGATGTAGCCATTACACTAACTGTTCGTCCCCTATATTATATATTTTTTAAGCTTATTTATTTCTTCAGAGCAGGGTGAGGTAGGTACCCTCGATAAGATCCTCATGCTGCAGTTTTCCCCCTGCCCTGCAGCCAGAAGAGGTTGTGGGCTTACTTATCATGCACAGGTAGACCCAGACCCAGTCCTGGAGCCTTCTCATAGTCTCCAGTCTCCTGCAGCAGCACTTCTGCTGCCTGAGTCATTGTGGCAGGCCTTATTCCATAAATGTTTTTAAATAGAAAATGTGTTATAATTAATTTGAAAACAGAAGGAAGGAATGTGTGACTCTACAAGGTGATATTTGACCAAATCAATAAAATAGATTCTAGCTTCTAATCAAATCAAGAAAATGTGTTAATATATAAAATAAGAAAGCAGAAAGGGAAACAAGTGTAGAAGAAAGAAAAAATTTGTCTACTCTGCAAATCCATTTGAAAGTCTGCATAAACGTTGTAGAGGAGCTTTTACATGAACTCTCAATAGTATTTACTTGTATACTTTTAAACAGATGGTTACAGTTAACGTTGTGGAGTGAGAGAGTAAGAATAGAATAGAAGTCCTGTTTTTTGTCTCCTGGACCTTAGTGGATAATGACTGAGGAGTTAGGAAATTCAAAGTTGTGTTAGAGAAAGAAACCTGACATAACCTGATGTATAAAAGTACTTGCATGATGACAGTAATAATATTGTGACTAACTTTTGCTACATGTTCTGCTGGTGCTGCTCAAAGTGCCGTTCAGTTATTAACATATGAGAGAACTTCTTAAAGTCATGGAGAAATAGAATTAATGTATAAGTTTATTTTGGTGCCAAAAATTTGAAATTCATGCATAGTTTTTTTTTTTTTTTTACAATGTGCATTTTTTTTGCAAACTTTATGAAGACCCCTTAGTTTAATCTTCAGAACAACCTCACAAGGAAGGACAGTTATTGTCCTTATTTTATAAAGGAGGAAAATGAGGCACAGAGAGATAACTTGGTGGAGGTTGCAGCAGCTAGTAAATGGCTTTAGGGATAAACCAAGTCAGCTTAATTCCATAACCTTTACTTTTAACTCCCTCACTTCACTTTGTTGTGCATGTATAGAAAATAGATACTGTAATTAGAAGAGACTCTAGGGCTAGTTATGCTAATTTTTGGTTCTAGTTTTAATAATTCATGTATTTATAAAGTAGATATTATTTTTCTAGTATAGCTTCTTAGCCTTTTAAATTTGATCTTGGACTGAAACAAAGTGGAATTGCTTCAATATTTGAGACATTCATTCATTTGTTTATAAATAAGTTGTCAATGCATGTTCTTGCCAGAGAGGGAGAGGGAGAAAGCACCCACAGTGGAGTGTGGTCATACTGCAGTCCTTTCCTTCCTCCTCCATTTCTCCTTCCTGCCAAGATTTTAGACATGCATGTACATGTGCCTGATGCATTCTTTCAAGCCAGCAGGGCTGGTATTTGGACCACAGCTGACTTTTCCTAACCCACTGGCTACATGACTGGCCCAGAGGAATTTACTTTGTTTTTTTTTTTTAATAAGTTTTTTGCCTCAGTGCATGTGCACTTCCTGGAGAGAGGGAGACAGAGATAACTGAGAAGGAGACTGAGAAACAGAGAGGGAAAGTGAGAAATTATTCCCCAGGGTCGGGGGATAATCATGCCACAATCTCTTCTCCTCCCAGGATTTTGGGCATGCACACACACACACATACACATGCACCCAGCGTGATTTTCAAGCCACTGGGTCCAGGACTCGAACCGTGGTTGGCCATGTGGGAGTCCAGTGGTATAACCACTATGCCATCTGCTGGCCCTGGAATTTACATTTAATGATTAAAACAATGGAACTTGAAGAACAATATCAAATAGTTTTTTTTTTTTTTAAACTTTTGTTTTTAAAAGTAAAGATATTGCCAGTAGAGTCCTCATTCAACATGTAAACATGGAAAGTGCAATATAGATTGTGTTCTATGAAAAGGCTTTTGTGGAGTAGTGTCTGAGGACCTCAATTTTGTTTTGATTATTGCTAAGTAGTCTCATGATTTTTAATCTTATCTTCATAAATTAGAAGTTGCCCAATATAGCTATATATATCTAGCTGCCTAATATATCTGTGTATGTCTAGTTTATAGAGTTATTAGGAGGATTATAAAGTGAATATGTGTAGAAGTATTGTGAAAATTGTTCAGTGCTGTACAAATGTAGACATAGGGTCATTTGGAAAAAGCATGGTGTGTTTTCCTTTGCAAAATTGCATCATGATTTTTCTGAGATCCAGTAGATATATTCATTCATGTTTATTCATTGGCCACTAGATACCAGATACTGTTTTAGATTCCAGGGATAAAAATTACCTCTGTTTTCTTGGACATACCAATGTATATTATTAATAATTACTTTTTATAATAACAGTTATCAGAAAATGAAAATTCTTAAGTACTGTATAGATAATTTCAGATTTGGTTTTTTAAAAAATTTAAAATGAATGTACATTCTTTTAATCTATTGGGCACCTTTGGGCACCTTTATTTTTATTATGGCATTTTTTTTTTTTTTTTGAGAGGTTTTTTGCTATAGGGCGCATGTGCTCGCCAGACAGACAGAAAGAGACATAAAGACAGAAAGCGAGAAATCACCCCCAAGGGGGATGGTCACGCTGCTATCCCTTCTCCTCCATTCTCCTCTCAGGATCTTGGGCACGCACGCATATGTGCCTGGCGTGAGTTCTAAGCCACTGGGTCCAGGACGTGAACCGCGGTTGACTACGTGGGAGTCCAGTGACATAGCCATTAATGCTAACTGCTGGTTCCCATGGCATTTTTATATTAGATTTTTTTGCCTTTTTTTTTTTTGTCATTAAGGGTGATTTTAGGGGGCTGGCAGATGGTGTGATGGTTAAGGTGCTGAACTCCCACGTGGCTGACTGTGGTTTGAGTCCCAAACCTGGTGGCTTGCTTTCTCACTTTCCCTTTTCATTTGATTTCTCTCTGGTCAAATGAAAACAGTAGTAATAATAATAACAAATTAAATAAATAATTCTTTTTTTTAAGGATGATTTTAGTTGGCTGGGGAAACTGAAGATAACCTATAAGAATGCCTAAGGTAGAATTCAAGAAGTATCAGAAATATACTTACTTATTAACTGAGTTCACTAACTAGCTAGAGATAGTCCCACGTGCACCCCTTGCTATCTACAATATGGGGAAAATGATCAGTGCAGACACCATCATTGTTGACTGAGAAATAAATGTTCTTGTACATATTTGACATGTTTTTCAAGCATTAGTCAGTATTATTCAGGAGATTTATTATAGTAATTAAAAAGAAAGTTCATGGGGACCAGCAGATGGCATAATGGTTATCACTGGGCTCCCATGTAGTCATCCTCGGTTTGAGTCCCGGACCTGGTGATTTAAAACTCACATCAGACATGTATGCATGTGTATCCAAGATCCTGAGAGGAGAATGAAGGAGAAGGGATTGCGATGTGGCCATTCCCTCTGGGGGGTGATTTCTTGCTTTCTGTCTGTCTCTGGCAAGTGCACGTGTCCTATAGCAAAAATCTCTCTTTAAAAAAAATAAAGTTCATGTACTTTTTCTATGACAGGAAGAGAGACAGACACAGATTTATGTACCCCCACAACAGGGAGGTCTCCCAGTGCCGTAAAACACTCTCAGCCTCAGCCAGCCAGGATCACAGGCACGCGTGCGTGAGCCTAGAGTTTACAAGGAGACTGCAGTAAGTGAATCTAGGACTTTATCACGAGGCTTTGGCCTTGTGGAGCATTGTGTTACTGCTATGTCACTGTGACTGGCTTCTAGTGATTTCTTAATAAATGAAATTTTTCCTCTGATAAGGAAAGATGTATATATTATAGATGAAAATATTATTTATTTATTATTATTATTTTTTTTTAGAGAGATTTTTGCTATAGGGTGCATGCACTCGCCGGAGAGACTGGGAGAGACCAAAAGCAAGAAATCATTCCCCCGCTGGGGGGTGTGTGGCCACTCCATAGTCTCTTCTCCTCCTGGGGTTTTGGGTACTCAGGTACATGTGCCTGGTGTGAGTTTTAAGTCGCTGGGTCTGGGACTCGAACCATGGTCGACAATGTGGGAGTCTAGTGATGTAATCATTTCACCAAACTGCTGGTCTCAATGAAAATATTATTATAAGTAATTTTTCCCAAAGAAAAAGGAGAGTTCAATATCCTAGTACAGTTTCACATCCTTTTATCAGTTTTGAAGATTGAGAGTGCTTTCATGGCACCATTTAGTAGAACTTTTAATCCTTGTTTTTTCTAGCTCGTCTTTATTCATGCCTTGATCACATGAGAGAGATACTTGGAGATGCTGTATCAGATGAAGTATTGATTGAAGCAGTTCTGAAGAACAGGTTTGATGTGGAGAAGGCTTTGTCAGTGGTTCTGGAACAAAATAGCATCCAGAATTTGAAAGACAAGAGTGAAGGAACAGTGTCTGCAGGAAAAATGGCCAAAGGTATGCCTTTACTTATTCTCTTTTCAGTTGTTTTACATAGTTAATGCTTAAAGAGTGGTTTTAATTTGCTTGAGCTGTTGGGAAAAAATTAGTTTAGTTTGCTTCAACCTTTGAGAAAAATCTTGCATGCTGTAGTACCTCCAGAATATTAAGTTAATTCTCTAGTTTGTGATTTTTTTTTTAAGCAGAAAGCTATGTTCCCTTCTTCTTACAGCCAGGTTTTTGGTTATTTCATTACTTGTTTGCATAACTAACAGGACATAGAGAAGTTAAAATCAGAGAAAATGAACTTTTTTCCCTTCTTGTTAGTGTCTTAGAGAACTTTTAATTATTGTTTTTTTTTTACTCTAATGAGATAGTAATGGAATTTAACCAAGTCAATTAATGTTATAAAATCCCTTTGTGCTTATATCATATATAAATGTATATTTTTGTTTGATTTAAATATCATAAGTATCATTATACTACTCTTACATTTCATGGCCAGATCTTCAATTTTGAACTTGTAGAACTTCAGATTAAATTTGTGATTTAGTGAATATAAGAAGGAATCTGAGATACCGTTATATAAATCGGTACGAAATCTGCCATTAGGAACATGATGATTGTTAGCTATGTTGATATTTCTTATAACCTGTGTAGTTGCATACACTCTGTTAATGAGTGAGATTTTTTTGCTGTTGTTGGGTTAGAATGGATATGGGTATGTGCTAATTTTACTCAAAATTATGGGAAGAAGTCTATTACAGAGTGCATCCCAGATGATAGTAGAAATTACAGGGTGTATTTATTTGCTTGTTTGTTTTCAATGCATTAAGATACAGAAGAAAATGAACCTAGTTTTTTTCATTATTTTTTTTTTTTTAGAAGTTTTGAATTTGAGACAGTCCTGGCTGTATTTTAATTATGGTAAAAACCTTATATTGTTAAATTTTATGAAAATTAGAAAATTGACTGACTTGTTACTTACATTTGCATATATCAATGAATAAAGTATGAAGGTCTTTTTATTAATAGATTATTAAAAGAAGGTAATATTCCTTTTTTTTAGTGTTCACTTAATGTTGAATATAAATAATGATCAAGTGTCACTTTTTTCATGTCATAATCGAAAGAAGCATTTAGTAATTAAATGCCTCATTTCATGTTTCCTTTTGGTTGCTGTGACCATCTTCTGCATATGCCAACCTATTCATCTGAAAATTAATGGCTCTTGTAAGGTAAGGAGTCTTATTTTCTTCCTCCAAAGCTTTAGCTGATAATGTTCAAAGTTCTTGTCCTCAATCAGCAAATCATTTGAATTGCAGTGACAAACCCTTTGATTTTTCTAGCTCTCTAGCAAAATATGGATTATGTCATAATTCTTCAGTTGCACCAAGTCACTATTTACTCCATAGAAAAAAGAAACTTGACAGACCTAAAAGTGAAAAGAAGCTAGAATCATGTAAGTTAACAAAAGAGCTTTCACTAGCTGACCTAATTCATGATATGCCAAGAGATTCTTGTAATAATCAGCCATCAGTCAGATTATCGTCCACAGATAGTTTGGGAAGTCCACTTTCCAAGAATCTAGATACTGATTTAAGACCTCCTGTCTCTGAATGTGTTTCTAAAGAAGATTCTGCGTTTAAAGGAATACCAGATTTAAAGTCCTTAATGATAAAAAAGAGCTCAACACCTAATGATTCATTATTTATTCAAAATAGTTCACTGCCTGATTTCCAAAACATTTCGGTACAAAATAGCTTAGGAAATTTAAGTAATTCTTTGCATTTAACTAGCTCATTGGAAAATACTTTTGATAACTTAAATACTAGTAAAAATACTGAAGTTGGAAGTGTTCCTTTAGTTGAACAAAGTGCCATGAATTACATTTTTAGAAATGATGGTTTGCAGTTTTCCCAGTGTGAAAGTTCATCCCTTCCTGAATCATTCCTGGAACACAAAGAAAACAGCCCAAGCCAGCACTTTACTTTGTCTGATCTTTGTAACCAGACGTCTGCGAGTGTCACAGATCTGAGTTTGGGATCCTTTTCCCTGTCACATCTGGCAGATCACTGTCAGTCTTCAACTGGAATATCAGAATTAACAGGATCTCTGTCATCTTTGGCATTTTGTCAAGTTTCTCCCACAAGAGACCTTGAGAATTTGTCACTTTCTGATCTGATTGCAGAAACAATTGATGTAGACAACTCTCAGATTAAGAAAGATTCCTTTGAAATCAGTTTATCTGAACTGAGATCTCCTGGAACAGATTCAAATATTGATCTTAGTGTCCTTATTAAAACTCCAGATTTTCTTCCAAAGCCTACAGACTATTCTGTTGCTCCAGTACCTGAAAATAAAGTAGTAAGTTCAAAGTTAGAGAAAAAATCCAATTCTGCTAAGGATAATAAGAAAAACAGCAACAATTCTCTGGCTAGGAAACCACCTTTTTCTCTCTCTTGGACTAAGGCCCTTGCTGCTAGACCATCAGCTTTTGCTTCCACACTGTGTCTTCGTTACCCACTGAAAAACTGCAAACGACGCACCCTTGACCTCTATAAGACTTTTCTTTACAGTAGACAAGTTCAAGATGTGAAAGACAGAGAAATAAGTCCTCTTGTAGCAATAACACCATTCGACTTCAAATCAGCATCTCCTGATGACATTGTAAAAGCTAATCAAAAGAAAGCATTTACTAGAGAATAGTAACAAAAGGAAAACTTGATTTCTGTTGTAGAGCTTTTTATTTGAAATAATTTAGTCTTTAAAGAATCACTTTATATATGGGATTCAACTTGCGATTTTTGTACTAAAACTGTCTTAAGTCCGTTGATGACAACTTTAGTTGATATGTATTTTTGCACTGAATTTTTTTTAAACTATCTTCTTTTAGTGAAAACTGGATTATTTAAATTGATAGTCTATAATGAGTATATGTTTACAAAGCACATGTGGGAACTTAATATTGTGAAATTAAGCCTGATATTTTTGTGTGAAGCATTCAACTTAATAAGTTTTTACAGTGAGATATTTTCTCCTATAAAATATTTTTGTGCTTTGTTAAGCGAAAATGCTACTACTTGGGAATATTATAGTGAGGGTGAAGATTATTCTTATATGTGGCATAGCTGAGACATTTATATTTTAAGATATTACTAATATCATTCCAAGTTTTATTATTTTTCTGTAGGTAAATACTAAAATTTTTCTACTAGGAAATCTTAAAATTCCTGATTTTTGAAAGTACTGTAGAGGTCTTTAAAATGCATTTTTGATGATAATAAAATGAAAATCTTTTAAGGGACCATGTAAATACTGAAGTTGGATTAATACATAAATTATTTTTATACATTTTCAAAACCTTTTGTCCTAAATGTACAATTTAAAATAAATATATATAAAAAGTAATTTCAAGTATGGTTGCATATTCTTTGAGTAGACAATCTTATCAAATTGCTTCAACTTTTTTTTTTCATAATAGTTATATAGTGTTTAGTTTTTGTTACCAATAACTTTGTGCTCTATAATGACAAAGGGTGATCAGCAGTGGCAGATCAAGAGAGATCTTATAGACTATAGAATAAATATAGTTGTCCCTTAGTTTCTGTGGAGGATTGGTTCCAGGACCCTCATGAATACCAAAATCCTTGGATGCTCCAGTCCTATATATAAAATGAGACTGTACACTGATGCTTGGTTGGTTGAATCAATGGATGAGGAACCTGCAGGTATGGAGGGCTGACTGAATGTAATTTTTCCATAAAACGGGGATCCTTAATTAGCAGTTGAAATCACTGGAGCTTATAGGATGAAGAAATGATGGAGGGGGAGGGATTCAGGTGTGACCCTGTCCTACTGGGGTGCATCCCTCTACCACCTCCTTGTTTCTCGTTTGAGCACACGAGCCCTCTGGCAGTTAAAGGAAAAAATGAGAAAAAGTCAAAATCCTGGAGGGAATTTTTCAAAACACATACATTGTGATTTTGACTTGCTGAACCATGCTCTAAGAGATGGCACTTGGGAATGTATTTTCAGAATGATCCCAAGATAATTTTGATTTGTACTCGATAACCACTGCCTTAGAGAAATAGCAAAATGACATCTGGGGACCAGCAGGTAGCATGGTGGTTAAGGGTGCTGGACTCCCACATGGCTCACTGTGGTTCGACTCGCAGGCCTGGTGGCTTGCTTTCTCACTTTCCCACTCTCTCTCTCACTCTGTCCCTCTTTGGTCAAATTAAAACAAATAAATAAATAGTTAAATAAAATAATTCTTAAAAAAAAAGAATTAACATCTGACCAATTTAAATTAATAATTTCCAGAAATCAGAAATGCAAGGAAAATTGCTTATTAGGATTTTTTTGCATAAATGATGCCAGTTATTAGTAGTTTTTGCAAAAAAAGTCACCAATATTTAAAATGGTTTTTCTTAATGAATATAAAATAGCCATTTCCTAGTAAAAAATATATTTTTCTCTGGCAGCTACTTCACTATGCATTTGATAATGTTTTTGTATTATTTTTTGTTCCTGTTCATCTTCAGAATGACATTCCAATGTTTTTACATTTCTTTTTTTAAGAGAGATTTTTGCTATAGGGTGCATGTGCTCGTCTGAGACACAGAGAGAGGCAGAGAGACAGAAAGCGAGAAATCGCTCTGTATTGGGGATGGTCACTGCAGTCCCTTCTCCATTCTTTTCTTGGGATCTTGGACATGCATGCACAGGTACCTGTTGTGTGTTTTCAGTTGCTGGGTTCAGGACTCAAACCGTGGTCAACTATGTGGGAGTCCTGTGACATAACCATATGCCATCTGTTGGTCCCTGTTCTTACATTTTTATATCCAGTTTTTTGGTGGGAAATGTTACGATGGCATTATGTCTTCATTGTTCTTGACCAGACACTTCTTGATATTTTGTGATGTCTAGGTTTGGTTTTAATTGCATATTTCAGTGGACATATTGTAGATGCTTAGAATGCATGTAAATCTCATGGTATATCTTTTGATTAACTT